AAATTTTAATAAACAGTGTGTAGTGTTCATATACTGAAATATTTTACTACTCCATTCATGTCTTTAAGGGCAGATTACACAGTACTGTTGAACAAAGCTAAAGATTATTGCCTTCATTTTTTGACATCCATATTCGCCATATCCCTTTGCCAGCTGATGACTAGCTTGTTTTGGTCAGCATTAACCTCATCTTCAGACTATGAATTAACTGTGATGTTTTGCTCACTTGGTTGATCATGCAACCCATCTATAGTCCTCACTGCAGGGGACTTGGGTTTAACAGCTTGCTGTCTGTCCCCTCACTCTCTTCCCACCCTCCTGTTTGCCCTGTTCTATTCACTACAGGCAAACCCCCCACAAACTGAAAGAAGACCGAAAGAAAATAAACCACGTGTGTTTTCTTGGTAAACACACCACACAAGGCTTAAAGTACCAAAAAGCAGCCAGAATTTTCTCCTTCTTACCAAGTACATTGCTGATTCCAATGTCAAGGAAGCAGCGAGGGCGTTGTACCTTGATCCCCATGATCACCTGAAAATGAGAAACAAGGTATGAACACAAGGATAACAGAACATCGAACAACCCCCACTCTGACCATTAAGACCTTACCAGTAACTTCATTCAGGAGCAGAAATTAAACACATGGGTGGCTTCTTTAAATGTAACATAAAAGTTCACTTAAGTTTTGTTCGCCTGTATGATATCAATACATACAAAGTACCGATACAGTTACCATGCGACTTATAGCAGCTGCATTATCTGCAAATTAGCCTCGGCTAGCTAACCGCGCGATTAAGTATCGGTCGACTGGTTGAGCGGACAGCAGACACACGTTTTCATGCTTAAAAATAACAAATACCGACGCTTACACACACTCACTAACGTGGACCTTCACGTTACAGTTTCACACGCCCCCCCACCGTATCTTTTTAATGGCAGGCCTAGCGCTAGCATTAGCATTAGCAAGTCACCTATCGTTAGCCGCAGACATGTACATAGAATTTACTGCAAGAAGTGAGCGGTACATTTTCAGCAAGTTTAAACGGCGCATAAAAGTAAGACTGACGCAACAGTACATCACCTGGAAAACCGAATATACCGCACCGTAAGGCGAGCAGCTCTCCCAAACGAGCAAAATGAAGTTTCATTCAGTGCTGGGCTCAGTGTTTTCTAAAGATGGCGCGGCGAGGACGTCAATGTGTTTCCAGAGCCGTGCACCGGTCAGCGCCAAGGGCCATTTTTACCCTGAAACTGGCCTGGCAGGCGCAAATGCGCGATTGGGCTGCCGAGTTACTTTCCTGCAATGACACAAAACCAGTTACATTTGCCGTTTCATGTTGCTAAAAAATTGTGACCACTTCATATCCATAGTTTATGGATTAGTTAATTTTGTCTTGTTATATTGTATTTTATGTTACTGAGCAATTCTACTTTATTTGAGCTACTTTGTTATACGGTCGGTTCAATGTTTTGGTTACTGTAAACAAGTAATATTTTGAATGACTAACAAATAATTAACAATTTAGAAGCTCTTTCTGCTACTGTTTATTTTATTCATAAGACACAATTACGGTTTAGTATCTTCAAATTTCGATTGGATAACTATAAATTTTGAGCATTTAAGCATTTCAACGTTTTAATTTACTCAAAAGTAACAAGGATTTTGACACATTAAGTCAAAACTTCGACAAATCTTTGCCTGGGTAAGGTTTTTTTTTTTCCATCACCAGAAACAAACTTCCATAAAATAAAACAAAATATGTTTTATCATATTTTACCTTTTTCTATTGATTGATTGATTGATTTGCAAGAAAATCATTTAAATATACAAACTTGAATGAGCCACTGCCTGAAAGTCCTAATCCAGGGTTTAATAAACTCTCATTGCCTTACGTCACTGCTACGGAAGTAAAACTTCTGCGCACACATGTAGGGTAAATTTGACTTTGAGCCGTTTTTATTACCTTTTTGTATTTGTATTAAGATATGTGATGCACGAATCTCGATTATACACAGAAATCTAAGCAAGAATGCAGCTGTAAGGGCAAGTCCGAGGTTGTTGGGGGGTTTAGGTGATTGCTTCTTTAAACACGTGAGGCAGCAGCCTCCACTTCAGTCCAGTGGTTACCAGTAGAAAGCCTCCGAGCGGACAGTTTCTTCACCAGCTTCTTGGTTAAAGAGGTCAGCCCCTCATCCCGAGTCAGTGTTTGTTTCTGAGCATAGTCTGAGATGTTTTTGTGTTTTCGCAGACCATGTCATGCAGGTTGTTTTCATCCCTCCAGGCTATAACTGTGTGGGGTTTGATCTCAGCTCACATTGAGGAGGTCAGAGCAGTGGACACAGGCACAATGAAGAGCTGAGCCCAAGCCTGCGATGATGTTTCGCCTCCGATCTGTGAACTCCTGCCTCCGTAGGCTCCTTCATGGAGGGGCAGTGACCAGAGACCAGGTGCTGGAGCAGCTGCAGGTGTGCTCTGCTGAAAACCATGTGTTTGATGTAGTGGGCAAGAACAAGGCTAAGCTCACAGTGGACCACGTGAACTATGCTGTGCGGTTGCTGTGGCAATTTCAGAAGGAGAGACCGGAGATGCTTCGGACTGTGGACCTCATCAAGAGTCACCAACAGTTCCTGACTCTTCGGGTTTTGGCAGAAAACAAAATAGATCTCATGGATGACTTCATGTTGATCGATATCCTCTACGCTTTTCTTAGGTACACGGTCACACATTATCCAGTGTATTCAGATTATATGACTGTAAAGGTTAACACGCATGCTTTCCTTCTAATAGGCTGAATGTGGAGCCACAGGACTCTCTTATTCAGCAACTGGTTTCAGAAGCATGGCTAAGAATAGACCGGTAAGAAAATGTTGGCTAATTTAAAAGAAAAAAATTGTGTAATGGTTAAAACACAGTCATGGTTTACTTTTTTGCAGGTTTCCAATGGCTGCTCTGTCCAAATTTGCTGTCTGCTTAAATGATCAGCACCTTCAGCACAGTCCTCTAATGGGCCGCATAACCAGCATTGTGAATGAGAGGCTGCCAACTATTGATGATGCCAGGTTTGTTGGGCGACCCGTGATTTATCAGTGTTTTGTATATAACCACCTCTTGTTGTGTCGTCACTCCCCCCGACTTTATTATGTTTCAGGATCCTGACTGCTCTGATGATCAGCGTGTCATCCCTGGTGTCTCCCCAGCTGCGGGACGCTCTCATCAGCAGAGCCGATCACCTGCTACACACCACGGATCCCTCGAATTACAACATCCCGCGACGAATGGTGCAGTTTCTGCGCAACATCAAGTACATTCACAGACCGCTGCTGGAGAGGTGCAATGAGATCTTCCTGCGTAACATCCCCAGACTGGATGCAGAGAATCTCAGCATCATCCTAGGGCTGTATCAGTCACTGCAGTTCAACAACTGTGACTTCAGGCTAGCTGCTAAACAAAAGCTGACCGAGCTGATCGACTCGAGCATCGATCCTTTCTCCTTCACCAAACTGTTTGTTGCTCTGGCCCCTATGGCCACTCCAGAGATCAGAGAAAGGTTTGTTTCATTATCAGTAGCGTGATATGAGGGGAAATCTCTTTAAAGCAGTTCCCACTGACCTGATATCCACTTTGATTCTTTGCAGGTTGGAGAACACTGCCCTCTTGTTGGCGGATGAGCTCAATGCACAGCAGGCACTGGCTGTAGCTGAAGCACTAGAAGAGATTCAGAGCAGGAACCTTAGCTTAATGAACAAGTGAGTTGTTTATGTGTTACCACCTGTTACGGTATGCCTGGTGTTGTCTTCACCTTGTGTGTGGTGTGTCTTATCATCAGTTCCTGGATCAGAGCCTTTGTAGGTGACCTGACAGTAGATGTAATCAGTAACTATAACTAATCATTTTTCAGAATTGCATCGGTAATCCAGAGAAACCTTCACCTCTACAAGTCAGTGGAGGTGGCCAGAATCACACAAGCCCTTTTTCTGTTGCAGTATCAAAACCCCGAGCTCTTCGCCACACTGAGAAACATTTTGATCAAGTAAGTGTCTGCCGAAGGCGCAACTGCTGCTTCACAGTTTATTTGGATAAAATGCAGACTGACGCCCTTCTGTCTCTCAGGTTTTTGGAGCACAGCGTCTTCCCGTACGAAGTGACCATGCTGACCCGTGTGCTCTCCATGCTGCCCTGCCCGCGACTCGAGGAGGCCGTGGTGTCTCGGGTAGACGCGGTAGTGGAGCAGTGTAATCTCAGCGAGCTTAACACCATTTCTTTTGCCGTGGCCAAGTGGGTGCGCAACGATCAGTCCTACCGCCACAACACTCACAGCAAGTACGTGCGTCTGCTGCAGACGCTGAACCGCTGCGGGCACGAGAGGCTGCGAACAGCCGACCGGCTGGACTTACTGCTGGACGAGCTCAAGTACGTCTCGGGGGAGTGGTTTGAGGAAATGCTGCTGGACGAGACCATGATCACGCTGCAGAGGATGATCGACCAAATAAACTGGACCAACGTCCCCGAACTGGCCTTCTTCCTAACCAGGATAAATCATCTCAGCCCTCCTCTGATGGACAGAATCGCCAGTGTGACTGTTGAACACATCCATAAGGTGCTTCAAGAGACATTCATTGGATCACTATGTTAAATACTGCATACTGACATCCTCTATTCTTCATGTCTCTTTTTTTAAGATTCACTACTCAGCAACATACGCCACACTCCTCCCCTTTTCTGTCCTTAACTATGACCCTCCACAAGTAGACGAGCTGTATGATGCTTGTATTAAGCGCTTCACTCCTCATCTCAGTAAGTTATTATGTGTGATTGCAGATCATTTTTCTTTCTTATTTTTAGGCTTACACTCACTGTATGTACTCGTAGGCTCCTTTGACCCACATCTGCTGGTCCTCCTGGCATACTCCTTGGCTGTAGCTGACCATTTTCCCGAGGAACTGATCAGAGCAATTTTCAGCATAGACTTTCTGGGAAAGTTGGATTCACAACTGGAAAGTAAGCTGCCAGTTTCCTTAAATTTGATTATCTGTGCCAAAGCTTCCATAGTGAAATCAGATAGGACTAATATAAGTGTTTATATTGCTTCCTCCAGCCCTGCCCGATGCGCTCAACATGCGGACACGACTGCGGCTCATGGAGCTCAACCGTGCCGTGTGTCTCGAGTGTCCGGAGTACCAGGTGCCTTGGTTTCATGAGCGCTACTGCCAGCAGTTGCATAGGAAAGGTAAGAGGATGCCCTGAAATCTAATTTTCTCTTTTTATGTAGGCTTGGTTTAAAACTGCTTTAACTTAATGCTATATCAGTTACATGGGAGTTGTTTGTTTTTAGGGAGTGGGTCTGTGAGTCCTGTGCAGCAGCAGATCCACAAAATGCTGGGTGAAGTTCTTGGCGGCATTAACTGTGTGCAAATGGCAGTTGTTACGCCATATTTTTACACCATAGGTGAGTAATATGAGGTGACCGTATTTTCTTACACTGTTTTTCTTTTGTAAAAGTCTTTAAATGTATTGAATGGACTGATTCAGTTTAAATATTATCAGTTTAACTCCTAATCAAAAGCCTTTCATATAGTTATATTAAATTTCTGGTCCTGAAACGACATGCAACATGAACATGGGGGAGGGTCAACTTCGCAAGTTGATAACTACCTTTTTGTGACCATTTAACCCTAATATTAAGTGTTAGGGTGAGCGAATCCAGATAATAGCTTCATAGTACAGGCCTCAGGTGTGCAAAAGGTAGTCTCTTAGATTTTATTTTAAAGAAATCCTGAAAGATCATCACAAATTGCAATGGTGTAACTGGGAGACATAATCTTGACTTTCTCAGGAAAATACCATAAACAAATCCTGATCCAGATTTCCTTCTTTCTCGAGGAGCTCTGCACATGATGTTGTCACGCAGTCTCATTTTTAAAAACGTGACACGTCACTTTG